CAATCGCTGCTCGTACGTGCGTGATGCTTATTCAAAGAAATTACTTTGCGTTTTAGTCCGTTGATCATTGACAATTGTTTTTTTTTAACAAACTATAGAAAGAAATTTATATATCTTCATGAAACAAGAGAAGCTACATCAATGACAACCTGACAATAACGAACCCTGACACGGATTATCTGTTTTTAAATGTTGTTGATCCCTGTACTTAAATATCTCTGTTGTCATAAGTCTTCCTTTTGGTGCCAAAAGCTGTGGAACATCTTCGAATATCAGATTGTCTCGTACACAAACATCCAAGAATACAACAAGATGCATATCGAATCACTGCAATATCTGCACATATGTGATGCTCATTCATTTAGTTATCTTGCTTTTCAAATTATTCATCACATTATCAAATTGTTAATTTGACAAATTCTCAAAGAATTTCAAAATGGATATGTCTTTATAAATCAGATATACGCCAGCAATGACAACCTAATGAACCCTGACACGGATTATCTTGATCCTCATAATTATACAGATCCTTTGTATTTAGATGCTTTATGTAAAACAAATATTTATAACTCGTATAAATCTATTATCTGAATTTATACATGTACTGTATTTCATTTGGTTCTAAACAGCTATATCTTCTTAAGACTGAGATTGCGATTGAGATGTTTTCAGCTCGAAGACCACAAGAGGAAATAGCTACAGCCAGTAAAGTCTCGCAGAAGCGACACATTTCGCACGTTCTCAATCTAATTTCATCGACTTATTACTCACGAAACTAGAAATATCCGACATATAAATTAGCGTTAATTCAATGTGTCTTCAAAATCATTTACTCACTCCTAATTTCCATGACTATCAAAAAGGCATCAATCACCATCATTACACGGGTATGTGGTGAAGATGGAGTCACGTGATTTGTGATGTAAACCTTCATTTGGACAATTCATGATGTCGTTTAAAAAATGTCCTTTGCCAGACTCCGAAACAAAGCCATGCTGGTTTCTAAATTGACAATTTGACACGTTGAAAAAAACTTGTAAGATGAATTAAACCCAAAATGTCTTATTCGGTGTCCATGTTCTTCAACATTTATAAACATGAAAATAAGTTTTAAGATGAATTAGACCTCAATGAATTCTTGAATTGTCCATGTTCTTTAACAGCTGCATAGAGTCTTTCAAATAGAACATAATTCATCCTCAGGGTTGTAGAAGGGCAGGCGAGCTTTGTCTAACATTTAGCCTACTTCCAAGGTATGATTTCTGGGGTATGGAATTTATCCTTACTCCGATATCCCGTCCCACATAACCCAAGGTTTCTATAAAACGTAATAATGTATAGTTATTATATGTATAGGAAGTTGCGTTTCACAATGAGGCTCGTGATTGTAAGATGTATTTCATTTTTCTCACGATTCAGTTTGAGAACGAATTTAGGATTGAACCATTACGTAGAAATCTCCTCGACCCACAACTGTACATGACACATAAACAGTTACTCTATATATTAAAAAATAATACTGTACTTACAATCGTTACTAAAACTAAGAGCTGAACATGTCATCTACATAAGTGATATAGGCCAGGCAAGCGTTTTCATGATAATGGGTTAAAGCTAGTGCTGTAGCTCGGAACCCAAAACCCGGACCCGGCCCGACCCGGCAATTTTCCAAATTTCTTAACGGGACCCGGAAAGGTCCGGTAACCCGGTGAGAGTTGGACTGAAATAATATTGACTAGATTCTATTTGAAAGCTACTACAAACACATCTTGTGTGATCTACCGACCTTGTCCTGAATAGAGGGCACATCGCTTCATTTTGTTTATCATGCTGTCTGTGAGTCCAGACATAAGTCCCAGGTCGATCTGCATAAATTATCACCCTTAATCCACTCCCTAAAAAGATGAAGCATAAGGCTAGCTACATGTATGTAGGCATCCTAAAAATAGCTCATTTCCCTGTCAGAGTGCCCATACAAGATGCTCTACTATGATTGGTCTGTTTGTCTGCCAATTAAGACAATGATCACATGTAGGCACATGCTACATGCTTAACTGATATTTGCATAATATTTGGAATGTGCGCGATAACGCTAGCTGGACAAAGGCTGCATGTTGAACCTTTGAACCTTTGAACCCTGTTCAAAGAAACCGCGGTGTAATGTTACACCCAGTTGGGCCCAAGCTGTCTGGCATGCATTAATCTTTGACAGGGAGTGTTTTTGTATTCTAAATTTCTGCGACATGATAGTGAAAGAGATAAATCAGATGTGAATGAATTTTTTTTTGGGGGGGGGGGGATCGAGAGACACAATGAAAGAAACTTAAGAAAGAAAAGAAAAAATGAGAAAAACTACATTACGTAAATAATTCTGTACTTTTATTTTTTTTTAAGAAAGAAGATCAAATTGATTTGAGGGGGGGGGGGGAGGTTTAAAACACATTCGGAAGATAAATAAATAGAATTGAAAAAAGGTAGAGATGGAAGGAAGAATGATGATGAAGATAACATCGTTTTCCTTCTCATCTCTAAATACTATCAACATTTCACAAACTTATCATTTTTGTTCTTCCTTTATTCTTCTAATCTGGGCTAAAAAAAAAATTGTTCAATTTAGAGACAGGGGAATAAGAGAGAGGATGGACCCCAATAATTATCTTGAGACAACAAATTAGCTAAATGATTGTTTGCTAATTAAATCCGTTTGTCAGGAAGTATTTGGGTGATGGAATTACTCTTTAATTTAACTTAACTCTCTGTCGACTTCATCTCAGCTCAGCCTCCACCTCAAGCATAACAAATTTTCACATACACACTCTCATACACATTATGTAGATTTGCCACTCACTGTCTATCAGCTAGGTCAACAAACTTCATAATTTATGAATCGTCTGTTCTGTGCCAGCAATCACTGAACTTTAATTTATGCTGGTTTCACTCTCCGCCCCTTTGGGGGAAACTTTCTGATTGGTCAGTACAGTAAGCTGATCAGTCATATCAATTGCAGGCAGGGCCAGTGAGATACATATACACACTTGAACACACAACACAAAATCTATGTGTGCAGTGTGACCCAGTGTCTATTGCAAAGACAGGTCAACAGATGTAAAAGATCGAGCCATCATGCTGTTTGTTTACAGTTACTTTTGAAGGTTTTATCGTGATGAAAGATAAGTAGATAACAAACAATGAGCTATTTAAAAACTCTTTTTTACTGCCGGGTTTTGTTACCGAGTTGATCCAATTCTTGCTGCAGTTCGGCCCGGAACTGGTCCGGCCCGAAATGCTCAACCCGGCGGGTTGGAACCCGGTAAGCCTTCCGGGCTACAGCACTAGTTAAAGCGGAAGATGAACACAATATATCGGCCAACTTAAGAATCAAATTGAAGAAGGACATATGGGTGGAGTCTATGGCCCGGGTCTATGGATGTCTTTCATAAGAGCATATCTTGGCTATCTTCTTGAGATTATATTTGGCATTGTCAAGTTATGTCAGAGCGTCTCGGATCGGAATTCTGGATGATTGATTTCTCAATCTCTACTACCGTCTCTTTCAATGACATATTTCACTTTAAAAACCGCACAATAAGTCTCATGTGAAACCCAAATAAGATTGTAAGCCATCAATCAACACCCATGTTGACCCCTGATCGCATTAATTCTATGATTTGAAATATGAAATATGTAAAAAAAAAAAATTAAAAAAAATATTCGCACTTTGTGAACCCGGTATTAATATCCACACTGCATATTGAACACCAAACAGAGGAGGAAAGAAAACCAATTGAAAGATTTTGATGTTTACACACTACGAGGGCCGTAAGCATGAAGTGTTACATCTTCTTTCAACAACCGACGTTACAATGAACCTCCGTTGAATAGGATTGAGAAAGCTAAAGGCAATTTAAGAAGTACTTTGGACCAAGTGAACCTCTTCACCAAAGCTTTCGTAGTATCTGATCAGAAACAGGGTTGTAACTCCACGATTATACAGTCACATGTGATAAATCGTTCTTGCGTAAGGCCAAAATTCATACTAGCCGAGCACAAAAAGGAGAACTTTGATTCGGAAACAGCCGTACCACAACTGACAAAACAATCGGAAGCAGACAGTTGAAATATTCAGCAGTTTGAGAGACAGGTGAATAATAAAAGTTGGGAATAGTTTCAAACAACTATCCCGTCATTCGTCTGGAGTAAAATCATTATTTACCTACAACCTTCCTGATAGCTCTGATAACTCAAGAAAAAATAATGAGGTAATTTGGTGAACGGAAAATGTCCTTTGTGTTTCCATGGTAACCATTTTGCTAACCATGTGGCTCGGTTACTATATCCGTTACTTTCGATGTGATTTTGACAAGATCATAACGATATAAAACAACATGGGATGTTTGGCTTTCCACAGGAATAGCAGTCTTGGAAAAATCTAGATAACTGTAAAAAAAAAATTAACGAATTAAATGCACAAACAATTTATATGATGAATATTAGCCTTTCGTTTGGATAAGATGAATATCAAGGGAGATGTTGTACTAAATTCTCCCCCGAAATCGTTATGTTTTGCCCTCCGACCATCGCTTTACAACATAAACTGTAATGATATTGAAGATAATTGAACGACATTTACAGACAGTTAACAGGCCAAAGTTTTAAGAAGTGACCAATCAAATAAGATGATCATGAAATAGATGATAACACTCAGTGTAGCATGCATAATGGATTGACTACAAAAACAGGAAGGTTTACCATACAGAACGAGCCGGTTACTTGTGAACTAGACTAAGTTTGTTCCACTACTTCATCGCTGTTTCAAATATTACACCATTACCCAAAGAATTGTGATAATAACTCGAATTATAGCCAATATGCAATGTGGTTTAAATAATTAGCAAGTGATGAAATACGAGAGGGCCTTCAAATACATCGAAGAAAAGTAGAAGTTAAAATAAAAAAATCTTTGAAAATTTAACAAATCTTTGAAAAGTTGATCTTTTTACCTTTAATTGGTTAATTCCATTAATATCATCAGTAGTGACCTGCTCTGGTAGACACCTTCAAACACGCTATTCCAGGTCAGTAGCAAAGAAAATCCCTTTATACCCTAGAATCCCTGGAATCCCTTACATAGTTCCGAGAGAGCGAGAGAGCAATGATAACAGTAGCCCAACCGAACGAACACTTGACATCTGAATGAGAAACGCGACAGTTATAACTGCTCATAAGCTGATGATAGCCTGCGACTGAGTTCGTTGCGCTACTGTAACAATGGTTGGAAGCACCCACATATACCGTTTCAGTGCGTCTTTTGAGCGTCGAGTCAAATATTGGAACTGGTATATCAAAGTGTCCCATTACTTCAAATTAGCTTTTCTGGAGAAAAGGAATCAAGGGTGTTGCATGACTCCGGCTACGTCAACATCTATCCCATGATACCTTTACCTCAACTAGCTTTTGTTCGCAATTGCGCTATCAATATAAAAGAAAAAGAAACCGAAATACTGTTGTCTCATCTTCATCGAACCAAAAATTACTTCCCAAATTTGAATGGCACCCTACGCATGACAGATTCATGTTATTAGATGAGCAGGATATCTTGAATGTTAATAAATCTGATCATTTTATCACATATTCTCATTACCGAGGCCCTTCTCTTTAAATGCAGACGAATTGTGTCTCGTTGATATGTGATTTTGTTTTCCAAACTAGCCAAGTGTCACCTCCTACATCACCGGAACAAATATGCCTACACTTCCAACAAAGCATTCATGTGGCAAGGTCACTTTGACAGCTTGCGGAACCATTATGTTCAATGTGTTTTGAGGAGCATCAATGTTAATGGTTAAGTTTTGTTGATCATACCATGATGGATTGGCAGGAGTAGAGAAGTGAAGGGAATGGGGGAGGGGGAGGGGGTCATGATCACCCCCACACACACACACACACACACACACACACACACACACACACACTTGACAAAGTTTGTTAACTTTGGGGGGGGGTAATAGAGGGGAGAATTCTATTTTTAAAGTTGAATTTAAGAGGTAATGGCACTAACCCGAATTTACATGGGAGCAAACGGCACTGATAAAAAAGACCAAATGCCTGGGGACGTGGGGCCAGAACAAGGTTTAAAACCACTGATGTAGGACCAGGAGCTCAGAAGTAGGACTATAATCCATTAGAGTGGACCACTCACAAACTACTGTTAACCGACAACAATAGACTTTTGTGACGATTTTCTTGTCCTACATTGTTAGGGTCTTGTAATCCTTCCTCGGTTCATTTTCCACACTGAGAACAGCCACTTTCTCTCTTTACTTTAAGAATAATGAATTAAAGATTGAATAATAAAAGCAGGGTATAGGTAGGTGGAAATAACCAAGATTAAGAATCCTTAAAAAGTTAGCATGCAATGTGCCTTGATAAAAGGCAATATGGCGCCGTGTTTTCCAAAGGTTTTGCCGAAATAAAATCAACTTTTATTATTGGTTGTTTTACCACTCCGTCTTCTTCAATGACAGCCTCGCCGCTAGGGGCAAATTATAACATCAATCTTGCAGCATTATATTAGCTTCTATTGGATAACATGACCATCTACTGTAATTAGCGTCAACATTCTCTTTACCTTTGAGCAAAAGTTTTGCTTAAAGAGTTTGATTATTCTTTAGAAGTGCCTTAATGTTAATACCAAATAATTGCCTTTGTGACCTCGTTCAGACTATTATGATCGGTTTGGAATGGCGACGAGCTTCCTGCTGAAACCTCATTACAAATAGATCTTCTAAGATTTCATTTAACTGGGTATAAACAATTGTCTTTCTTTTTTATAGATCTACAGGCATTATCCTACTCCCCCCCCCCCCCTTGATTTCTATAGTATCCTTTAGTATTGTATCATGATACCAATGTAGCAATAATCTGGAACGTAATGGCTCGATATATCTGAACACATGATTAATATGTGAATAAATTAAATTGAAGAAGAACGAGGAGAAGGAGAAGAAGCACATGCCGGAAGAGACGGAGAAGGGTAAGGAGGAGGAGAAGAAGTAGAAACAGAAGAAGAAGAAGAAGAAGAAGAAGAAGAAGAAGAAGAAGAAGAAGAAGAAGAAGAAGAAGAAGAAGAAGAAAAAGAAGAAGAAGAAGGAGAAGAAGAAGAAGAAGAAGAAGAAGAAGAAGAAGAAGGAGAAGAAGAAGAAGAAGAAAAAGAAGAAGAAGAAGAAGAAGAAGAAGAGGAAGAAGAAAGAGGAGGAGGAGGAGGAGAAGAGGTAGGAGGAGGAGGAGGAGAAGAAGAAGAAGAAGAAAAAGAAGAAGAAGAAGAAGAAAAAGAAGAAGAAGAAGAAGAAGAAGAAGAAGAAGAAAGAGTAGGAGGAGGAGAAGAAGCAAAGGAAGATACGGAGAAAGGTAAGGAGGAGAAGAAGAAGGAAAAGAGAAGAAGAAGGGGGAGGAGGAGGAGAAGAAGAGATAGGAGGAGGAGGAGGAGGAGGAGGAGGAGAAGGAGAAGTATGGGAAGAAGAAATAGAAGATGAATCAAATAGGAAGTCGAAGACAAATAGGAAAAGGGAGAAGGAAAAAGGGAAGAAGGAGGAGATGGGGAGGAGAGAAGGGAGAGACGGAAGAGGAGGTGAAGAAGAAGGAGGAGGAGGAGGAGTAGAAGGAGAAGAAGAAGAAGAAGAAGAAGAAGAAGAAGAAGAAGAAAAAGAAAAGGAAGAAGAAGAATTAAACAATAGATAGTAAACCTAGTAGATGGTACAGAATAGATAAGAAGATAATCATAATATAGATTAAGTGAGTTACTTTCCAGCAGTGCTTCGGCAGCTCCCTTGAATTTACAGACAATCTCTTCAGTTCTGATAGATAGAATGAAATCACAATTACCCTTGTTTGCTTTGTCCTTATACTGTTCCATTTGTGTCAGAAGATATACGAGACATATATCATGATGATATATCCATGCTTTCTAATAAATTATAGTGCAAATATCTGAAAGGAACGTTAATTTGAGGTCACTAACAATCATCTGCCGTCTGTCTAAAAGCACCCCCCTCAACCACAACGGTATAAGTTTGCACAAGTCCCTTGCCGTCTATTCTAAACCGTCCTCCAAGGGGGGTTGACGACCTGGAACCGTATTCTGAAAATTGTATCTATATTAGTAAAAAGCTAAAAAGCAACTTCTTCCAACTATAGGTGCCTAATTATATGGGCGAATAGTCACACGTGTAGATCGACATCAACCAACGGTCATCAATACTGGCTGGGATTCGAACCCGAAATCTCTCTCTACAAAGCGAAATGATGACGAAGATGTAAGACCGGGACAAAAGAGAGAAATTAGTAGACCTTTATTAAACCATGATCTATTTTTTTTTCTACAGCGCGTAGAGATGTTAACAAATGATGTTAACAAATGTATTATGCGCTTTATAAGAACTGTACTATTATTATTGTTATCTAATATCCACTATTATGTGAAATTTACACTCATAAACTCAACGGTAATATTAACGATAGACTGCATTTCGCCTGTAGATCCCGAAATTTAGCGTGCTTATCAGAAGTATCGCTATATTATCTTGGATTTACTCATTCAAAATCAGTACTCACTCATTACACCTGTGGTCTGGAAGCACGACACAAGGCTTGAACCCATGAATCTGTCACTGAAAATCAAGGAGATAAACCGCTCATCCACAGCTTGCTACATGGACATAGAACGTTGATGGGTACTCTCTAACTACTAACCTAGGAATGCACATGTAAGGATATGTACCTCGGAAGAAATCAATAAGATGGTCCAATGCAACCTCAACTCTATTGATCATACACCAATCCATAACAAGGGGGTGTACTACTACAACCTGGTAATCAATGAAACTGTCTACATGCAGGGGCTATGTCAAGCATTAACAACATACTCGTAAATATAAACTTGAAGTGCAATTTCTCAAAGAATTTCTTTCAGTTTCTAAGTTCAATTTTGTTCTTTATCGATTCTTGTGATAGCATTGTAAACTTTTATATAATTGTATATAACACAACTATCATGGCAACTTTGTATTTATCAGTTTTTGGACTGTTTGACAAGGATTTTTTTTAAAGGCCCACTGCACTACTTGTAGCTACTTGCGCCCTCTATATAACAAACAATGAATAATCGGTGACCATTGGTCCCCCATGATCCTCTTTTTCTTATGTTAACTGAGAGCTGAGTTGAGTGAGATAACCACCTGTCCAGTGACCTTGCAGGGCGCTCTAATCCCTCCTGTAAACTATGGCAGATAAGCTTTAAATCAATAAACAGAAATGAATTACGAATTTTAATTTAATACATACTAGAAAATGGTAAGGTCTAGAAAAAGTTTACACTTAAATTATGTTTATCATTCCACAAAGGTAGACTAGACGTTAGTAACTACCAACTTTTACATAATTTATATCAAGTGTTGTGCCCTCGTCACCATAAGTGTACGGGCTGACGTCTATTGCCCGATTATCAATTTTCATATTTCCAACAAAACACTTGATACCTTATTACGGTGAAAATGCACACCCCCAATTTGGTATATATTATTATCTCAGCATAGATTCCTTCATATGTCCACGCTGTGAATAAATGAGTTATTACACATTACGAGATTCTAAAGCTGCACATGCGAGGGAAGAAAGCGACCCAGCACTAGAACATTTTCGCATCTTAAAACATCACAAACTGTAATACGTAACATTTCGTGTCTGGGGCGCATTGTACTACATTTTGTGTCCCCCCCCCCCCCCCCCCCCCCCCAACTCGTCTCCCACTACGCTACTGGCGCAATAAGAGAACTGTTAGTATACAAGGCACGAATAGAAGCACTAGATACAGCCTTCTGGCTGTGCAGGCTGCTCGATCATTGGTCTGACCGTGAACTCGACCTGACACTTTAACGACATTGTAGCAAAATCACTGGACCCGAAAATAACTTCTATAGAACTGAAAATCTAAACCCATAAAAAAAACTGGAACGAATTGAACCTGCTTATTTAATTTGTTCGACAGTGCTCTTCGACACAAAACTGTGTAAAAAACGGGATAACTGGATAGATAGATAGTCAGATGGATATATAAATATATAGATAGAAAGATTAATTTATTGAATGAATAATATATTTATCAAATAGACAGATTAAAGGACCAATTGATAGAATATAAAGATAGA